GAGAGAGAGAGAGAGAGAGAGAGTGGAAACGGGGGCAGATTTCACTTCCTTAAGAGAGAGAGAGAGAGATGAGAAATGAGTCATCATTAACATACTGGGTGAGTACTATGGCGACTCACCTGAGTACTGTAGAACTCGGGCGGCTAGGCACAAGTTCTACAATACTTGGGGCGAGTTTGTACTGTACTCACCTGGATTCAAGAGCCCTGAGTATGTATACAACAACTCACCTCGGCACCATGACAAGGCTGAGTATCACTGCTGAGTTTTTGAGCGCTGATTAGCCCATATTTTTCTCTTAGCCTGTCGTGGTACAGGTTCTAGCTTTCTTTGAGGGAGAGCGACCCTTCAGGATTTTCTATTGGGTTGTGAAGAAATGGGTCTTGTTGGTTCACAGTGAAATTGTTTTTCACGCCAAGGATGGGTCATAGATAGATAAAAGTAATTTCAGGATATTTATTAAAGCTTTTGTCCTTGTCCTGTTTTTGAGATTTTCTTAGTGGAGCACTCATGGCCATGGATTTTTTGCTTCTCTAGCACAAACTTACTTGATTGAGCATCTTCACAGCCACAATCATGTTGGTAATGAATGAATGTCTTTGGAAATATTTATCAACTTCTTGAAGTACACACCAGTCCATTTTGTTTTGCTTGCCTTTGTTGTCATTTCTATATAAACCAAGCAGTATCCATGAGTTATCTGGAATCTTCAATATGTTGCTGACACTATTTTGTTGAATGAGACAAAATGATTCATATCCAAAGTCTTAAATTAGATATGGGGTGGAGTGATACAAAATATAACTGACTCTTTTGATTCCTTGAGCCACTTGCCATCTGCCAGATGTTTAGGTTTTAATTTAAATATATTTTTGCAATAAGTGCAATAAATCTAAGTGTGGTGCTTAGTGTATCAGAAAGGGAGTGTGTACGACAACTTTCCAAATAGTGAATTCCTTTTTATAAGAATGTTCTTTTTTGTCCTCTATGTCCATGTTGCTTATGGTATTCTTCCAACGCTCATTAACTGGATTCTTAGTTAAGCAATCTTCCTACTAACATGCTAAATAGAATTTCAGTTTTTCTTGCGAAAAAGTGGTACATTACATTCTTTCCTTGAACCTCTCTCTATCTTCTATATGTAGAATGGGCAGCCGCTGCTCTTCCTACCTCCAAACTTCCTCTCTCTCTCTCTCTCTC